GAGGCGTGTTTCTACCAACCGGCCACAAGGGGTCACTAAAGGAGCAAACTGCGTCGAAAGGAAGCGATAAAAATCAGATTTGTGAGTTTAAAGTACGGATAAACACGACTAAACTTCGCTCACAACCACATTTTCACCTAGAGAAAAGAGTGAGGGGGCATAAGGAGCGCTGTGATTGGTCGAAAAGCTCATTTATTCATTTATTCATGTAGTAAACATCACTAGGTTTTAGAGGTGTACACAAAAATCACGGTTCGGTACGTACCTTGGTTTTGAGGTCAAGGTTCGGTTCATTTTCTGTACAGTATGGGAACAAATTGGAAAACCATATGCTTGTTGTTTTTTTGTGTGTTTAACAATTTAAAAAAATAAAATAAATGCAAAGTGCTGCTCGGTAATACTAATGAGTTAATTAAATATTCTCCAATAAGCAACAAATGTATGAAATACTATAAAAACAATAAACTACATTTTTCAAAAAGAAAAGCGCAAAACTTCAACCACTTCCAGGATGAAGTTTTACTCTAAACTTACTTTAATCTTCATATTTTTGGCCAGAAAAAACAATTTGGAGGAGCGGAGATTCTGTGCTGGTGAAAGAGGAACATGAGGAGCGCGGCATGACAACCGTAGTTTTGCGAGGATTCACGAAGTTCTGAGGGATGTATTCATGGCAGGGAGCAATTGTTGTCAAGGCGGCCGCCCTAACTATAAAGCGCCGCGGGAATCACGGACAAGTTCCCTCGTGAATATGAAAGAGCCGAGTCTTCCGTGTAGCTGCACATGTAGTGGCGGAATATAAACACACACAAATTGGGCGAATTCACCGAACCAAACGTCCCGTGCTGAAACGGTTCGGCGTGAATTCATGTAATGTTACACCCCTAGTGGGTTTATACGTCCAAGTGTTTCTAAAGTCTAAGGCTGCATTCTCCTTAACAACCACCAGAGGGCGCTAAAAGTCAGTTTGAGAATTGACCAAAACAGACGAAATAGAGCAAAAAATTAACAAATATGGAGGCGCCCACGACAGGTTTTAGATCACATTTTTTGGAAAACGAGGTGAGGGAAGCTTTTACTGTATTTTTTGGACTATAAGTCACTCTGGAGTATAAGTCGCACTAGCCAAAGAATGCGTAATGAAGAAGAAAAAAACATATATAAGTTGCACTTTTTGAGGAAAATTTATTTAACATATTACCAAACTCTCCATCTTAATCTAAATCACTAAATCCATTGAATACTTTTTCTTCCTCGGTGTCACTTCTTAGCAACTCCGTGACCTCCGGAGGTAAACAGAGCGCCGCTTCTTCTTCTGTGTAGCTGTCGTCATCAGTTCCAGTTAGAATTTTTCTGGCCTTTCTGAATCCCGACAGGATGTTTTCGGTGTCACTGAAGTCCAGGCTTTGTCGATCCATCCAGTGACTTCCAGGAAAGTTGCACAGCGCGTCCTCCCGGTGTCACAAGTTTTTCGCTCACTCCAAACTTTCTTTCTGCTGCTCGATTACTGTTTTCGGCTGAATATTTCGCTACTTGGGGCTTGTAATCTGTAAAATATGATTTTCTTTTTGGGGGCTTTTATGTTCAGTCTTCTCAGTCGTCGTTTATTTAAATTTTCAGTGGTACAGAAGTAATGTTACGATCGATTGACATGATACAGACAGGACAGAGGCTCTTTCTGCAGGAGACATGCGCAGTAGAGTGAAGTGACAGTGGTACAGGAGGAACAGGAGCAGCAGATACTGACACACAAGACTAGTCAGTGTGAACATTTTAATGTATAAGTCGCACTGGAGTATAAGTCGCAGAAAACACCCAAACCATGAAAAAAAGTGTGACTTATTGTCCAAAAAATGCAGTTTGTTCTAGCCACTTTTTAAAAATCGAGCTGTGTTCACTACTGCCCCCAGTGGTCAGCCCTTGTACTTGTGTGTTAAACATGTGTGAACGAAACAAAACACAACTCCAGGTCTGTTTATGATGACAAAACACCATAGCATAGATCAGAAAACAGCGCAGTATGGGTCCTTTAAAACCCCACTCACTCCTGGTAACATTAAATTATTTACACTGACGTTTTGTTCTTGAATATAACGCTTTTATCCCTTATATCCCTTTTACACAGAATACACGGGCCTATTTGAAAGCCTCAGTATTCTCCAGCTCTGATTTGATTCTCTCTTATTGAATCCCGTGTATTTTGCTGATGTTGAAAGCGTTATATCAAAACTCATTCAGCTCCATCGCGCAGGTCAAGGCACAGTCTGAGGAACGCGAATAAACCGTGAAATAAGTGGAAATGATTCAAAGTAATACAGTTATAAAAGATACAAACGCCGGAGTCCTTGGCAACAGAAGATCTCCCTTTAATTACAAACAAAAATAACTCTTTTGAATGTCTGTGTTATTGTTTTCTATATGAGTCACTCTTTTTTTGTTCTTTATTATGTAATATTTGGTCTTCGCAAAGTCAAATGTTTTCTAATTCACTTGTATTTATTCTTATATGAGCAAGCTGTCCTGTCCGTAGATTTGACTTGTAACGTGGCGTAGAGATGGATTTGTTCCCGCAGAATGGCACTGTGGCAACTGAATGGCAGCTGTTTCCATGGAGATAAGCAGAAAGTTACACAGTGCAGCTTTAAAATCTTTTCTGTCTGGACTAAAATGTTCTTCACATTATCATAACAGCAGAATAAAACAAGACAAGCTACTAGGACTATATTAGATTAAAATTATACAGGTTATTCTGCCTCCACTTGTGTTTAGGAACGAGATTTACAGACAGCGAACAGTTTCTCCAATAACAGAGTTTCCCCAGGTTTGACTACCCCAAATTTAAGACTTTTTTAAAGACCTTTTTAAGATCACTTAAATGAAAATTAAGACCAACATCGCACCCATTATGCGGGCGAAAAAAACACCAGATCCGATTCGAATAATGACCAACCAACTACTGCATCTAGAATCTAAGAGCCACTGTGGATTAAACCGACACTTCCTCACGATCCATCCGGCGTCAGAAACCAAAGTATTGTTTGCGCAGACTCCAAATTAAACGTTACGTTCATTCACGTTACGTTATTTCACGTTGTTGTTTTTTTTCCTCCCTCCATTTGCAGCCCGGATGATGAAATTTAAGAACTTTGTGAAGAAAATAAGACTTGGACAACATAATTTAAGACTTTCTAAGGCCTTCATTTAGGAGCATGAAATTTAAGACCTTTTGAAGACTTTTAAGACCCCGCGGCTGCCCTGAATAAACACCCAGGTCTCTTGCTGTTTTGGGCGTTAACTGAAGAGTTGGAACTTGAGTAAAACTGTAACATACTAAAAATAAATGTCTTACAATTATGTTTTCACATTTAAACAAACATAGAATAAGCAGAGCGACATAAAACAATGTAGAGCAGCTTAATAATTGAATATATGCATAACAATAACAATAGCTGGACTTAAGAAAAATCAACAAAGTCAACAAAACAAGTGATTAGCCTCATGCTTATATGAATGGAAATTTCCATAAACATGCTAACGCTATTAGCCTCTTATATTTTAGCAGAAATTTTAAACTCTAAAACAAATTAAAGTGCCAGACAGAGTGACTTAACATGTTATAACATTACAGTAGTAACATACAGATATTTTCATGGGACCAAAAGACAGTTTACAAGAATTAAACACTGGAAAGAACAGCTGAAAAAACTAAACACTGGGGTTTCAAAATGGCCGCCCATTCAAGTCAACGGGCCGAACTCAATGGCGCATGACTCCAGATTCGCTTTTAGCCCGACAAAGTACTTCTAGTGGCTTTGGGCCGACCGAGCACGTGCAGTAGTGTCCCGTCTTTTGTCCCGCGGGCGCATGTCAACGCACGCAAGCTCACGCATGAAGCACAGACTCGTGTATCACATGATCGCTTTGACCAATCAGAGCGAGAGGAGTTAGAGCGGAGCCAGAGCGAACAATTATAAAGCATTTTTTAAGACAACTGAAGAGTTTTGAGCTGAGAAAAAGTTTATGATCTAAAAATAGGTAAAAATCGCCAACAAATCCGACATTTTTGAAAGTTGTAGGTGCCCTGTCAGCCCAACACGAGCAGTTTGTGATTACATTGCGCTCTATGAATAAAGCCCGGGGGAGTTTTTTCCGTTGAAGTACCAGAGAGTGGCCACTACACCAAATGGAAGCAGCTACAAACCGCAACACACTATCCAGTTATTTTAATAGATCCATGGAAAAAACACTGGCACAAAAGTTGAAAAGTCTAGAACAATATGGCGGCTAAGGCAGCTCAGAGTAGACAAAACTGATCAACTCAAAACAGAAATATTCTCCACTGGGGCAGAACACAGGTCATTAACATAACTATGAGAATTATGAAAAATTTTGACTTTTACTACAGTGATTAGTGATTAGTTTTAAAACAAAAACTATATATTGTTTGAATGTGAAAAAGTTCTCAAAATATTGAAAGGACGTTGAAACCCTTTGAATAAAAGTTTGGGTGTCATCTGCAGTACCTTTCTCGTTTAGTTTTACTGTGGTGGGCCATAAATATTGTAATATTGTGAATAAAGTGGATCTTATTTTTAAGATATGCAAAAATTGAATATTGGGTGTAACATTTATTGTAAAATGTTATGTTGTGAAGTGACATCGCCACGAAGAAAAACATTGGACGAACTCTCCTCCAGAAAAATTACACAATGCACCTTTAAACTTCAACTAACACATTTCTGTTAAGATTGACATTCTATCGTCTGAATATTGTTACCGTAAACTAAAAAAAAGAAAGAAAAAAAGATGAGGAACTAATTCATATCGGAAAAAGCAGTGCAAGAAACGCAAATGTACAAATAATTTCTTATTGTCTACATAAAGCCTTTGTCACTTATAGACTTACTGTAGATTGGCATTATATTGTCTGAATAATGTTAGCAGTAAACTAAAAAATATGTGTTATTTTTTGTCCATTTTCTTGCTCTTTTTGTTTCCAGGTGTGAGGAGGGTCCATCTAAGCCCGTGGAGGATTCGCCCCGTCGTGAGCAGGGGTATGTCCAGGCCCTGGACAGCAAAGGGGTCCCACTGTGTCTGTCCTGTCAACAGCCCTGCTCCACCACAGGAGGGGCCTGGGACACTCGCTTCTGCTCCCACAAGTTTGTACAACACCAAAAATATTATATCTATCTGTCTATCTATCTATATGTCTGTCTATCTATCTGTCAATTTTGAAATGCAATACATAATCTTGAGGATATAGATGATAAACAAACCATTGAAACCAAAACCATAAAGCAAAATCATCCCCCGAAAACTAGTCTAAACGTAATTATTGAAAGCAATTGTTAAAAATATATAAGCTACAATAAATAAATAGCAGACAAAGTAGTTAGTTTGTATTTATAATATTGAGCCATATATAGAGTTCATATTTTAACCTTCTATAGAACTGAAAAATAACAAAAATTTCCATACTATTAACCATATTGTTTCATCTAACATGTATTGCACTATTAAAAGGACAGTCCGGAATTTTGGACATAGGGCCTCATTTCCTAGTGAGCCAGAGTGTTGGAGACGTGTGGAGACACTTTTTAAAATATTCCATCCAGTCCTTGTATTTGCAGAGGTCGCTGGTGCTAGGCTAGTGCATGTCAATGGCCATAGTTATCCTGCCACTAAAAACAGTCTTACCCACTCCACAAACACACAAAACAAAACTATTATTACACCAGACTGTGGGTGTAAATGTCTAATTTTAGAAGTACAACCAACCTTGCATTTGAAGGATTTATGTCTGAGCAGCAGCAGCGAGTTGTACTTCCTGATAGAAAGCTCGGCAGCAGCGGACTGATATATGAGAAAATAGTCCCTCAGCATGCGATGATTCATGTGATGCAAGGTTAGTTTTATTTCAAACATTATTCTATCAACACAGACATTCACATCGACAGTCTGGTGTAATAATAGATTTTGCTTCGGGTGTTTTTGTGGAGTGGGTAAGACTGTTTTTAGTGACAGGATAACTATGGCCATTGACATGCACTAGCCTAGCACCAGCGACCTCTGCAAATACAAGGACTGGATGGAATATTTTAAAAAGTGTCTCCACATGTCTCCAACACTCTGGCTCACTAGGAAATGAGGTCCTATGTCCAAAATTCCGGACTGTCCCCTTAAGTTGATATAGCAATAATCATGACAGGCCTTAGTTACATAGGGCTTCAACTATTTCATATTTTCATCATTACCATCACTTCTTCCAGCCTCTTTAACTCTCTCCCTCATAACGGAAACTTGGGCTTGGATTTGACCATTTGTGTAGGCTAGACTAATGGGTTAGAATGCCTGTCACCTGCTTGACTGTCATTTCTTTGCCCGAAATGTCCCACAATATGTCATTAAAATTGTCTGTCTTACATTTAGTCAATTAAAGATGTTTTTATCGGTCAAAAATGAGCTCTTAATATCAGCAGGTCCACAGATCTGACTTAAGCGTGATGTAACTTTGCCCTGTTGTGTCGCCTCCTTGTCTCCATGGATGTACATAAGTTAAATGCCATACTGTGGGACATTACAGGTAAGGCAATAATCTCCATGGACGCAAGTTAATGCACATTTTTTAGTGTAGCATAGTAGAACAAAACACAACACAACTCCAGGTATGTTTTTGATGAGGAAACGACATCATAACAGAGATTTGAAAAAATTACAAAGCCATACAGACCGACAAATGTACTTATATATGCATGGTTACGTGATTAAATATTTAAATCATGTATTTATAGGCTCCTTTGGCTCTTTCTCTTTACTTCCTGTACCCAACAATGTTATTTAAGCTGGAGATGAGAGGATTTTTTTAGCATCTCAAAATAGTGTGCGTGCGTGGTTGTACCCGCTGTGTTCTGAACCAAAGCCCACCCATCTGGCACCTAAAATATTAAAACTTCACTTTGAGCAGGCGGGCGCGGAGAGCACAGACACCCAAAGACAAACTCAAATAAGTTGATAGTATACAGTAGTGTTGAGCTCACAGTGTGTCTCTGCAGAGTTTGCCTTCGGAGCCGGAGCTGTGTGCACACGGATCACAGCCCCGGATCACACTTCACTGTTTTCACATTCTTATAACTGTTTACTTCATTATCACCACCAAGCAAAACAATATGACCACCTGTTTAATATGAAACCTGCACTGTAAAACTGAAGGTGCACTGTGGAACTGTGCAGAGAAGGGTCCTCCACCTGCTTGGCTATATATATCTAGCATTGTTTTCCATTATTTGTGTTTCTGTTGGACAAAGATACTTGAGTACTGTGAGTGGGCTTGCTCTCCACAGATCAGACAAATAACTACTTGTCCCTGTAGCACCAAGCACTTGTCCCCATGGAGACGTTGTGTTTTAATGCCGTACTGTGGTAGCCGGTTTCACTTTGTGGAAACCATCTGACCTCGCAGCATTAGGATTCGTTCGCTCTGACGTTTGGCAGGTTTTTTTTTTATTTAACCAGTCGCTGCTATTTGGTCCAGATGTATGTAATGCTCCGAAATGCTCAGTGGTGTCCAAGTAATTGCCTGCACAACAGCAAACAAAGCAGAGAGTGAATATGTCTGTCAATTATAACTGTCATTTCTGGGAATTCAGCTGGAAAGTCCGTCTGAATTGTACCCTTTATCAGACTAAGTTAGTTAATCTACATACATATAAATAAAAAATAATATATATTATATATATATATTGTATGAATTACACACACAAGTTACAGTATGTCTCAACACATTTATTCATACTTACAAACAAAACATGCAAAAACTAGTGGTCTCAAACACATACAAGTAGAGTAAATACAGTGTGTCAGACTACTCCTCAGGAATAGTACACAAGTGAGGCGCACATTTTATGTATAGTCTGTCAATTTCTCATGTGTATTCACTCGTCACACCGCCTCAGTTCGGGAAGATCGGTAAAACGACATAAACAAGGCCCGACATTTGGTCTCACTACATTCACATTTAATTTTCTTTTGATATAGACTTCACATACTAAAGGCCATCGAGAACGTCCCCCGTCTCCCGGGCACAGCAGTTACCCGTGTGCCCCCCGAGAGAAGGGGGCGCCTAGAGGGAGGATGGGACGTTCGAGCCAGGACTTTCAAGCCAGTGGGATGTTCAAGCCGGTATTCTGTTTTTATGAGGTGAACTTGTGAATTAAAGGTGCGATAAAAATGCAAAGTTTGTATTCCAAAGGAGGATAGCGTACGCAGTCTACTATCGCAGCTCGGGTTGGTTCAGCTCCTCGCTGATTGGCCGGTGCGCGGTCTACAACTTCTGGGGTTCACGCAAACCGTCTAGTATGAATGGTAAATGGAAAGAATTCAGATTTAAAAGTGCTAAATAACAGTTTGTCATGTAGTTTGCGCTGAAATGGAAGCATCACGTTCTCTGTAGTTCCCTCTGTTTTACTGTATTGTACTGTTAATTACTGTAGTACATTTGATGATACCACATCAAAATACTTCAGTTCCATCCAAAGTAACAAACAGAGAAGTGGGAGCGACATGTTCCAGTTTGTTCCTGTAAAATTCAGCACTGCATTTATCAACTTTTATAAAAACACATATTTTTTAGGAGAAGCATCGAGTCTTCTCAAGTCACAGTCCTTAAGTCCGAGTCAAGTCCCAAGTCACTGACCTTCAAGTCCAAGTCAAGTCTCAAGTCTTAAAAATAGTGACTCAAATCTGACTCGGGTCCAAGTCCTGCCTTGCAAGTCCCCACTTCTGGCTACAATGACATGGAGATGAAGAAAACTGGGACATTTTCTAATTTTTTTCTAGATTTTGTCAGACTTACTACCGCGAACACGAGCCCGGCGGAAGTTGACATCGCATATTTACAGACGTCTTCCTGATTTCCGACATATTGGTCCAATTCTTACTCATTTTCGGCTTTGTAACGTGTCAACTTTTAGACTAGACTAGATCTCCCACTAACAAAATAAAGAGCTGTTATTAATTCTCTGTATTTGAACCCATATCCTTTTTCTAATTAGCTCCACGGGCAGAATACAAAAGACCTTGTAATATTGTAATGTGTAGTACTCTAAAACCCCGTCCCTTTGGCTCCACTGAAGGAAAAAAAAACAATTTACTCAAGTGTTTTTAAAGTCTCAAATCCAGGTCAGTCTGTCAGGGTGAGCGCAGATCTAAACCAGGGAGGAGTCAAAATCAAAACATTAGAAAAAAAGGCCTTTATAATTTGGTTCATGAAATTTTTAAAGAGTTTTTTTTTACATAAGGTCTAATTACAAAGAAGTGAGATTGTTTAACCTTGTAGTTTCCGCTCCCGATTAAAATTTAAAACGAGGTGAGAAGAAACAAAATACACCAAATTTACTTTACTAACAATAATACTAACCACAATACTGCAACTACTACTACTACTACTTCTTCTTCTACTACTACTACTGCTTGTTCTTCCACCACTACTGCTACAGTCACTGCTACTACTATTAGTTTTACTACGACTACTAGCTCGACTACTATCATTACTGCTACTACGACAACTACTACTTTTACTTCGACTACTACTACAAAAGCCATTACTACTGCTGCTGTTGCTATTACTGCTACTCCTACTACTGCTAGTATGAGTACTACTACTACTTTTACTACTACTACTACTGCTTCTTCTACTTCTACTACTACTATTATTGCTACTTCTTCTACTACTACTACTACTACTACTACTACTACTTCTTCTACTACTACTACTACTTACTAATTACTACCTCTTCTTCTACTACTACTACTTCTACTACTACTACTATTACCCCTTCTACTACTACTTCTACTACTACTACTACTACTTACTTCTGCTACTTACTACTACTACTACTACTACCGCTTTCTTCTGCTACTACTACTACTACTTCTACTACTACTACTACCTGTTACTACTACTACTACTACTACTACTACTACTACTGTTTCTTCTGCTACTACTAGTACTACTGCTACTACTCTACTACTACTAGTACTGCTCTCTTCTACTACTACTTCTGTTACTACTACTACTATTACTCTTCTACTACTACTACTACTACTACTACTACTACTACCCCTTCTACTACTACTTCTACTACTACGTCTACTACCTGTTCTTCTACTACTACTACTACTACTACTGTTTCTTCTGCTACTACTGGTACTACTACTACTACCGCTTCTTCTTCTGCTACTACTATACTACTACTACTACTACTACTACTACTACTACTACTACTACTACTACTACGTCTACTACCTGTTCTTCAACTACTACTACTACTACTACTACTACTACTACTACTACTACTACTACTACTGTTTCTTCTGCTACTACTAGTACTACTGCTACTACCTCTACTACTACTAGTACTGCTTCTTCTTCTGCTACTACTACTACTACTTCTACTACTACGTCTACTACCTGTTCTTCTACTACTACTTCTACTTCTACTACTACTACTATGACAGCTACTACTATTACTTGCCATAGTTTGGTATTACAGTTATTATTACGACTAAAAGAGGAGAACTGATTCATAAAAACTAAAAAGTCTGTTCCCCAAAGTAAAAGTAAAGTAGATTTTAGAGAAGTACAGAGGAGGTGCAGTCGTGTGGGTCTCTGTGCAGCAGTGCTGAGGTCAGGACGTGTAATGAGCAGCTCCGCAAACTTTCACATGTTTGTAATGATCATGTTCGACATGTGTGGATTTGAGTTTCACAGATTTTGTCAGTGAAACTTTTCTGAAACATTTGAGATTACATCATCACCAAAATGTAGCCTGCAAATGAAACCCAATAGTAAATACATCTTAAAGAAACATTTGTCTTTAAAATCCGTGTATCATTCGTTCATTCGTTTTTCTAAATAAAACTAAAAATAAAAAACAGTTTTCTTCATTATTTGTCTCCAAAACCAAAATTAAAAAATGGATAACGGTCATTTACGTGGCTTAAACTGCAATGCCGGACTGAACCAGGACTAAAACAGGTCTAAACCAGGACTAAACTGTTTTCTGTCCTGGTTTGGGCCCAGTCTCATTCCAATCTGGTCCCGGTCTGGTCCCGCTCTCCATCCCTTTCTCACTCCCGGTCTCAATCACGGTCTGGCCCTGGTCTGGTCCCGGCCTCAGTCCTGCTCTCAGTCCTGGTCTGATCCTGGTCTCAGTCCTGGTCCTCAGTTCTGGTCTCAATCACGGTCTGGCCCTGGTCTGGTCCCGGCCTCAGTCCTGCTCTCAGTCCTGGTCTGATCCTGGTCTCAGTCCCGGTCTCAGTTCTGGTCTCAATCACGGTCTGGCCCTGGTCTGGTCCCGGCCTCAGTCCTGCTCTCAGTCCTGGTCTGATCCTGGTCTCAGTCCCGGTCTCAGTTCTGGTCTCAATCACAGTCTGGCCCTGGTCTGGTCCTGGCCTCAGTCCTGCTCTCAGTCCTGGTCTGATCCTGGTCTCAGTCCTGGTCCTCAGTTCTGGTCTCAATCACGGTCTAGTCCTGGTCTGGTCCTGATCTGGTCCCAGCCTCAGTTCTGGTCTCAGTCCTGGTCTCAGTCCCAGTCTCAGTTCTTGTCTCAATCACGGTCTAGTCCTGGTCTGGTCCTGGACTGGTCCCGGCCTCAGTTCTGGTCTGAATCATGGTCTGGTCCTGGTCTGGTCCCGGCCTCAGTTCTGGTCTCAGTCCTGGTCTCAGTCCCAGTCTCAGTTCTTGTCTCAATCACGGTCTAGTCCTGGTCTGGTCCTGGACTGGTCCCGGCCTGTTCTGGTCTGAATCATGGCCCTGGTCTGGTCTCAGTCCTGCTCTCAGTCTGGTCTGATCTGTCTCAGTCCTGGTCCTCAGTTCTGGTCTCAATCACGGTCTAGTCCTGGTCTGGTCCTGGTCTGGTCCTAGCCTCAGTTCTGGTCTCAGTCCCGGTCTCAGTCCCAGTCTCAGTTCTTGTCTCAATCACGGTCTAGTCCTGGTCTGGTCCTGGACTGGTCCCGGCCTCAGTTCTGGTCTGAATCATGGTCTGGCCCTGGTCTGGTCCCAGCCTCAGTCTTGGTCCCAGTCCTGGTCCTGTTACTGGTCTCAGTCTTGGTCTGGTCTCATCTCATCTCGATGAAGATGGAAAGGTTTAATGCCATACTGTGAAATATTCCAGGCAAAGTATGTTTTGTCTGCAGGGTCCGTGTTTGATGGACCCTCCACCCGAAAAGTTACACAATGCACCTTTAAAAGTACAAAAGTTTAAAAGTACAATCTTGTCTTCTTGTGTGTCTGTCCGTCAGGTGTCAGGAGGACTTCCAGCTTCGTTCCAGTCAGAGCTTCATGAGGTCTCGTGTGCTGGAGGTGGAGCAGGGCGTGTGTCAGACGTGTGGACTCCAGGCTCACCAGCTGTACCTGAAGGTCCGAGACGCCCCCCCCTCACAGAGGAAGCACCTGCTGCACAACACCTGGCTCTCCCAGCTGCCGCTCAGCAAGGTACACGAGCAAAACACTGCGGTACACTCAGGGGGAAAGAAACATTACAAATCTACTTGTTTTTTCACGGGCAATTGTATTTTTTTATTTGCCTGACCGGCCAGTCCCTTCTGCTTTCTGTTTGAATCCAGATGAGACTGAAACTGGACCATAGAGCGTGAAAATCCTCTGTCCAAACTTGGTGCAATCCAACCACAGCCGCTCATTTGTGTCTCTCAAATGCGGAAGTCTTCTCTTGAAAATTCTCGTTACATTCAGAACAAAATATACATGGTGTCCCAAAAATCTGACATCATTTCGCATTTGGCAATTCTTGTTGAAATAACCTCAGATTTTCACAGAATGTATAAAGACTTTTAGATTTTATATTTAATAGAGACAAATGCTCTGTTCTCATCCAAAACAAACACGGCTGCTTACACATAAAAAAAGGAGAAAAAACAACATAAAGGACTGAGAAACAGCACGGATTTTTACAGAATCAACCACTGAAGCGCTAAACTATTACTTATCTCAGGTAAAAGAAGTTATACAACATGTCCCCAAAAATTTGACATCATTTCGCAGGTCAATAATTTTGGCAATTCTTGCTGAAATAACCTATAAAAGGACGAGAACTTCGCACATCAGTGACTAGACGGGTGCACTGGAGGAGAAGGAGCAGCCCAAGAACATAGACGAATATTATTATTATTATTATAGTAGTAGTAGTAGTAGTAGTAGTAGTAGTAATAGTATTAGTAGTAGTAGTCGTAGTATTATTATTATTATTATTATTATTATTATTAGTAGTAGTAGTAGTAGTAGTAGTAGTAGTAGTAGTTATTAGTAGTAGTAGTAGTAGTAGTATTATTAGTAGTAGTAGTAGTAGTAGTCGTAGTAGTAGCAGTAGTATTATTATTATTATTATTATTATTATAGTAGTAGTAGTAGTAGTAGTAGTAGTAGTAGTAGTAGTAGTAGTAATAGTAGCAGTAGCAGTAGTAGTAGTATTATTAGGCCCGAGCGCCGACAGGCCGGCGAAGGGCCTATTAGTTTCGCACAGCGAAACGCCCAAGTGGCCGAAAAATGGCATGGCGCGACGTGACTCGCCCGTAGTGACCAGGGACCCTCGCCATCACGTAGCAATGCGCCTGAGGTTTCCGAAAATGTATAGTTTGTCGGCCAAAAAAAGCGGAACATTGTTCTCGTACCGGAATATTTAGGCCCGAGCCCCGACTGGGCGTAGGGCCTATTGCTTCCGCTCAGCGGAGCGAATGGGAAGGGACGTGCGCATGTCCGAATGTGACAAGACGACATGCAACTATGTCCACGGTCGCCCCCGGCACGAACAGCAGTATCCCAGTAACCCACGCCCAAGGCCTGAGCCATATTTACTACTGCTAAAATGAATGGAAGTCAATGGAAGGCGATGGGTGACCTCCACGAGATGGTCCAGACGCGTCCGTCACTCACCAATGACCCCACGGTGACGTGGGGAAGGTCGAGAGCTTTCAAAAAATGTATAATATGTTGTTCTAAAGTTTTCGGATATATTGTTTTTGCTCGAATTATTATTATTTTATTTTTAGGCCCGAGCGCCGACAGGCCGGCGAAGGGCCTATTAGTTTCGCACAGCGAAACGCCAAGTGGCCAAAAAATGGAATGGCGCGACGTGACTCGCCCGTAGTGACCAGGGACCCTCGCCATCACGTAGCAATGCGCCTGAGGTTTCCGAAAACGTATAGTTTGTCGGCCAAAAAAAAGCGGAACATTGTTCTCGAAGGAGAATATTTAGGCCCGAGCGCCGACAGGCCGGCGAAGGGCCTATTAGTTTCGCACAGCGAAACGCCAAGTGGCCAAAAAATGGAATGGCGCGACGTGACTCGCCCGTAGTGACCAGGAACCCTCGCCATCACGTAGCAATGCGCCTGAGGTTTCCGAAAACGTATAGTTTGTCGGCCAAAAAAAAGCGGAACATTGTTCTCGTACCGGAATATTATTCTTTCTTATTATTTTTCTCCTAACCAACTCACCCATTTTTCACCCACTAAACAATGACGAAAAGTCCTGAAATTTTGCCATCTGGTAAAACTCGCGCTTCCCTACGTTTTGGCTATTTCCATTTTCCAAATGACTCAAAAATGCATTAGGGAATACGAATGACACAAAAAAAAACTTGCACGTACAATCATGAAATTTGACACAGAAGTCAATCATGTCAAGACAAGGAAAAAATATTATTACGCCAACACCGTGTGCTCCACTAGGGGGCAGCAATATTGGCTTAAAGTTTGCTAAGCTGTTACGAACTCCTCCGAGGGCGTTCACCCGAACGAGCTCAAATTTGGTCCACATCATCTCAAGACGTAGAACAATAAAAGTTATCCAAATTGTTCACACACGTCTTACGATCTCTGAGCAGTGAAGCAACAAAAAATGCTCACAATTTTGGACATTTACAAATTGCTCCCATTTGCTGAAAACAAACTCCGATTTCAATGACATTTGAAACATTTGTTAAACTCTCTGCCCTGAAGCTACTTCATGTGAAAATTGTGAATTTGGTGCATTAGCGCCCCCTATAGATTGAAACAAAATTTAATATGGAAAAAATTCATTTGCTCCCAAATAGTTGCTCAAAAATTTCTGAAATTTTGCACAAAATTCCATTTTGGCATCCTGATCCAAAAGTCAATGACACCCATGTCATATTTTTTATGGTGTTGCCATAGCGATGACATAAACTCTCCATTGATAAAATCTACAAATTCTGGCACAAAACTTTGGCCGATTTCACTCAAATTTGAATCGTTCATTGACACCCCGACCCTGAACACATTTATATAAGAAAATCTCAAATGGGCGCAATAGCGCCCCTTAGGGAAATTGCATGGTAGTGCAAACTTTTACTTTGTCGTAGACATATAAAATTTGGTACACAGATTCATGACATGGTCTTGATCAAAAAAGTCAATGACGACCCCATGCCATTTCCCATCGTGTTGCCATGGTGACAGACTAAACATCTGCCCTTGCCAATAGGCCCAACAACAACTTTGGTGTAGCCAAACCAAATTTGGTACACAGATGCATCATGGGAATAGGAACAAAAAAGTATATTACGCGGTTGCTAGGCAACCAACAGGAAGTCGTCCATATTGGATTGATGGTGCGACCTGTCCTTGCATTTGAACGAGCTCGTCCTCGGGCGTTTGACCCAAACAGAATCATTCTGTATCATCTAGACAAGTGGGACATTAAAAGTTGTTAAAAGCTTTTTAAAAGGTCAAACGGTGTTGCCGTGGCAACAAGGCAAATTTCGGGTTCGTTTTTCGGGCTCACCATCAAACTTCGACGACTGACAATTTGCACAAACTTTGGCCAATTTCACTCAAATTTTAATCCTGAGTTCTCACCTCAACCCTGAACAGATTGATGTAAGAAAATACAAAAATGGGTGCAATAGCGCCTCCTAGCGTTTTGCACAAACTTTGGCCGATTTCACTCAAATTTTAATCGTGGGTTCACACCCCGACCATGAACAGACTGATGTAAGAAAATACAAAAATGGGTGCAATAGCGCCCCCTAGAAAATTTGTATGTAAAAATAAGGTTTTATTTGTCACAGATATACAACATTTGGTACCCACATTTGTGACATAGTCTCGATTAAAAAACTCAATGATGCTCACATCCCATTTATATTGTGTTGCCAGGGCAACAAGCCAAAATTGTATCCTTGCCAATGGGACGTCCTTACACAAACGTTGGCGTAGCCAAACCAAATTTGGTAGCCAGATGCATCATGGCAATAAGAACAAAAATGTATATTCTGACCACGCCCATTTACAAACCGGAAGTCCGCCATCTTGGATTTTTTTTTTTTTGCCAAATTTTGAAAATTGCAGGGTTGGATTAAGAGTTATAGGGTTAGGGTTGGGGCTATGGTTAGGATACGATTAGGGTAAGGTTTAAGCTTAGGCTTATTGGGGTCAGTGTGAGGTGCGGCTTTGCGGAGCGCAGCGTTTGTGGAGCGCGGCATTTGCGGAGCGCGGCTTAAGCACTCGCGAGGGCCAATCATTGCCGCTTGCGGCTATATTTATTATTATTATTATCATTATTATTATTATTTAAAAGATGCCTAGGCCTTGATGTTAATGTGGACATTAACAACCATGCTAAATAGCCAGTGTGTCTTATGGAATGTTGAGAGGAGCCTAACATTCTATTGAGGTTCTGGGCCTGTTGATGGTAAAGAAATCATCACAGATCCATTGATTTTGGTTGGATTTTTATATTTTTTTCTGTAGAATGACTATACTGTTTGAAGAAAAGAATGGCATATTGGCTGATGTCAAAACTTGGGGGAATAGTTGATTGCCAATGAGGTAAAGATGAAAATATTGGAAAAAAGTGAAAAAATGCCTTATTTTTTGGCATTAAATTGAGCCAAAATCATGTAGAAATGTGTTTTATGAATATTTTTTTTCACTGAATGTTGTCACCACATGTGTTCTTTGCATCTGGAATGTATTTGTAGACAGCTTAACCAATTCACTGAGGATTTGAGGAAATTTTTAATTTTTCAAAATTTTCTATCACAAAATGAAGGTTACCTACACTAAAATGGCCACAATTTTTTTTCACGATATTTCCGGAAGAGCAGACCCTCCAATTATTGGTCCTCAGGGTCACAGTTAACCTGTTACCATCCACCTATTTTGGTGTGTGCACAATAGCACTACATACCCAAGTGCCATAGCTTATTAAAAGAAAACCTTAGAACCCACATGCTTGTGTGAGGCATCATTTTAAAGCTTAGGCCTTCTAGTTTCTGCAGATATGTACATGAAGACTGTGAGTGCTGCCTAACCTACAGTACAGTCAATAAAAATTTTTATTTTTTTGCCCTCGAAAAAACAATTGAAAAAAATAAAGGCCTTAGCTTGGTCATACTTCATGCTAGGCATTTGTGACTCACTACACTCATTGTTCAAGTTGTTGGCAACAACTGTGTAGAATTTCAGATCTCTAGGACAAAGGGTTTTGATGCTGTGAGCCTTTGTGTAAACAAAATGACAATTCAGCACAAGATTGCCAAATTTGTGCCAAAATAATAATAATAATAATATAATAATAATTGTTATTATTATAATACTAATTCTTCTGAGCTTTAGGCATGTTTTCTCGAGAAAAAAAACCTAAAAGTAGCCAAAATTGTCCTCCAAGTAGCAGATCTGCCCAATATGGCCCTCCCGCACCGCTTCTTGTGTCCCTCTCTGTGGCGCCTGTAAACACCGCGTCCGTTTCAAAGTCCATCTGGATGTCCCACCCACCGTTTGAAAGCTCTGGTGATAGGCTAAAACAATATGTCAATCACTTTCTGGAAGATCCAATGACTGAAGAGATTTCCCGTAAACAAACTGATGACGCGTGCGTAAAGCCAGAAAGTATATGGGTGCGTTAGCTTCTTCAGCGGCTTGTCCCAGCTAAACCCCGGCACCGACAACAGCGGGGAGGGTCTCATTTTAAAGCTAAGAGTGTGAGGAAAACAAGAGAAACGGAACTCAGAGAGGGAGAAGGCTCGGAAAGGCAACATATCTTTTTATTCACGCTTTCATCCATTCATACAGATGAGGATTTTCTGGATTATTTCCCCACATGGAATTATTTTATGGAAAAAAACAACCTGGAAAATCGCCCGCCGGCGGGCGGGTGGATGAAAACACAAATAAAAAGTATGGCAGGCGATGTCAGGTTCAACCCATTTTCTAGAGCTTTTGAGACTTTGGCTCCCCAACTATATGGCTGATTTACACAGATTTTGGTGTTGTTCTTCTACCTGCATAGGGAAACAACACCATATGCAGCCTGACTTCTCCAGGAGAGTCACTCTCCTAGAGGCGCATTTCCAGATCACAATAGACTCCTTAATCCAGCATTTGTTAAACCCCAGTTTCACAGCCATTTTGAGTCCCTCTGTTCTGTATTTA